CTCTCTCTCTCTCTCTCTCTCTCATCTGTACTTCAGTAGATTTCCCCTCGGCTTTTATATATAATATACCATGATTCATGAATATTAGAATTTTAATTTCATTCACTTTCCAACTGGGTGAGGTCAGCATCTATTACGTAACGGCTCAACCCGCAGCTTTACACCGCAGAAGACCCGGGTTCGTTTCACCACAAGGACACGACACTGCACCCAATACCCCCGCCCTTCCACCTGGAAAGACTGTCGTAAGTGGTCAGCATTGTGGAGCTGGTTAGGAACGTGATCACCTACCTACACGGGGGAGTTCGTGGTTCAAATCCTACTGAAGCCTGAAATTTCACTTTTCATCTAGGAATGTTGTTTATTTTTTCTTCTTTTCAATCCTATGCCTTGAAGAAGTGCCCGGAGTTCCAATTTTGAATTGACCTACCTTGTGTCTGAAAAGACTTTACAAGTTTGAATAAAACCTTTGAAACGCTATCTTTGCAGTCTTCATGAATATGCTTGCAATAAGCGACGTCTTTACTTCATCAAGAACATAAATTTGGATTCCCTTTTTTTACTCCCTTTCCAAAACTACGATACCGCTGGGACCCTAATACGAGCTGGACTGGACTTTAAGATCAAAATAAAAGCAATTCCAAAAGCTGAGCCTGTTGCTATTGATGGAAACGCTTTACAGACCAAGTTTCCTTCACGTCACATATTGTGTCTGAAGGTGAAACAGATCTTGCTAAAGCGGTCGTTTCGCTTTTTTAAGTTGGGGGGCTTTTTGTTTGCATGTAAACTGGAGACACTCAAAGCCTCGTCGTTCACGCCTCCCTCTTCTTCTTCCATGTTCACAACGAGGATATAGTGAAGGGGTGGTGATCGATCATTTCTATTAATTAGTTCTTAAACACTGAACGCTTGTCGAGAAAGCTTCTTTGTTTCCTCACAAGGGAGCTGTAAGTGAAAATTAAAGTGTTGAAACACGCAAGAGGTGGCACGAAATGCGTATACACAATATCATTTTGAAAACATGGCGGGATTTCTGCTTTGATTTCTTATATTATTATGTTATTTTTACTTGCTTTATTTGCTGGGGTCTTTGTCAGCTTGGTTCAAGTGAAGCCTATTTCAATATCACGAGAAGAGCGTTGTGAGGACCGATGTTTCCCCCTCTCACTTCAAGCCGGATGAAGCAGAGGCTTTTTGGCTTTCCGTTCCGTGTCGAAACATGTTCGCCCTTCACCACTTAAAAAAATAGTTTATAGAAACAAGGTTGATGTTGATGTTTCTGCCAGGCTAGGCAAAAACGGCTGTGAAATATCAGTGGTCTATATAAAACAAGATAAATGGCTGAATCGAGAGAGAAAATTGAAAGAAAAAATAAACACGAAAAAAGGGTAAATGGGGGGGAAGGGGGGGGGGGGG